CTCTCTCTTTCTCTCGTCCAATTAGGATCGACGATATTACGATATTCTCCCGACGGTTGTTCGTATTTCGAGAGTCCTGTTCCGCGGAACTTGTGGTACATACACACATACACGCGTGAATTCTTCGTTTGGGTCCAGTCACGTAAATAAGGGAGGAGGCGGGTATTACCGATAAGCGGGATCGGAGTAAAAAAGAAGAATCAGCAGCAATATTCCATGAAACGCGGCGGCACACGGTGTACGAGCAGGTTGGAGGGGGCGAGCAAGGGGGTGCGTAAAAGAGCAACAAGAGGAACAGATCGGTTTCGGAATGGAGCAGCAGCCAACCAGCCAGTGGTGTCCGGTCGAGTCGGTCCTAATTGCGGGTAGCGGGTCCCACCGTCGGGTTCCCACGGGCGAATCCCTCGGCTTACCGAAAAGTAACGTCGGTAATATCACGCGGCCCCCCCCCCTCTCTCTCTCTCTCTCTCTTGGAGTTTTTTCCTCCAGGCGGTCACCGGGCATGGACCGGCGTTCCACGCTCTGGAAGGCTCGATAATTCATTCGAGGAGATCGGGCTAACGCGGGCGAGAGCGGGTGCGCGCGCTCATGCGACCGCGGCAGGGACCGTGAGATCGTTTTCGCCGGCGTGGTCGAAGAGGAGAAGGAGGAGAAGGTGGAGGCCCTCTCCTCGGCCGAATAAGAGGAAGAAAAAGAGAAAGGTGCGCGCGGCTGCAGCGGGAGCTGCAACGTGCAGAGAGTGACCCGGCATCTCCACGGAGATGCCGATTCGTGCGAGGGTTTAAAAATACAAGACCGGCATTATTCGCCGGTCCGCCCACGCGTCCGCCGACGAAACTGCGCTCTCGCAACCGTGAGAAGAATTCGCTCGCGATCGAGAAACCTTCCTCCTCCCCTCGATCCTCCCTCGTACCTTGCTTTTCGTACCACCTTCCTCCACCTCCGTTGTCCTCCCCCTCCAAAAACCTGGTCCCCTCGTCGCACTTTTTCTCCCAAACCTGCCTCTGCACTCTTTTGCAACCTGCAACCGTAAGCGCCGCGCGGCCCGGTACAAGGAAAGGAAGGGCCCGGAGAAACCTCTGGGAATCATCGAAATAACCGTGGGGCCCCGATCGTATCTCTCCCGCCGCAACGCCGCAGCCGCCCGGTGCGTATCCGGTTCTACCTTGAAATAACAAGTTACGTCAAAGATGGATTGCGGTTACGACGATAATTATTCGGGGACGATATATATATATATATATATATATGTATATGTAGGCGACGATGGTAGTGTCCGAAACGGCGAAATGTCCCATTGGATACTTTCTCTTCTTCCTGGTTGCTCTTTCGTTCCGCGACGAGTCTGAGAAAATGTGACTGTTTCTAATATATAGGTACCCTCGCGAGCAAACTCGGCTTGCGCTAGGGGAAAAAGTGGCGTGGGAGAAGGACCTCCTACAACTTGATAAATTTATTCCAAAAACTGAAATAAATGGTAAATCGAATGTTAATTTGACATATATTTCAATTATTCCCGAAACCAAAAGTGGCGTAGCAGAAGGGCCCACTACCATTTAGTTTTGGCAATTACAGAAAATTTATGCCAAATTAACATTCGGTTTAACAATTTATTTCAGTATTTAAAATAAATTTAACAAGTGGTACAAGGCCCTTCTCCTATGTAACTTTTTCCCCTAGTGGAAGCCGAGTTTGCTCGTGGGTGTAAACACACGAGTTCGTAGAACATACTCCGTAACGAAACCTTCGTCGGAGCTGCTCCGTTTTCATATGTGGATCGTACACTCGCGAGGAATGGAGCGCGTAACGATATCGCGTCGCGCGTGCACCGCCGCTGTGCCGAGTCGAAAGGTGCAGGAAACGAGCTTTGCGCCCGGTTTATTTATGTACTTCGATATGCCACGCAAGAGTAAGCATCGCGATTGCAATGTTGGCCCCCAGAGCTCTCTCTCTCTCTCTCTTTCTCTCTCTCGTGGCCACTGTGATTAAGCCCGGTTCACGTGCCGGCGATACGCGAAAAAACGTATTTTTATACATATATTATAAGTATCCCGCAGATGTTTATGCAAATATAGATTTTCGGGGATTAACAGGAACCAGAGTCAAACCAAGATCTGTTTACTTTATTTAGTAGTCTACCAATTCCACAGAAAGTAAGAACTTAGGATAGGAGAAAATATTGCAAAAATAGATTAGTAGTTAGCAAAGTGAAGAGCGAGTGGGGGATGATGAATCTATGAAGGAAATTAGATTAAGATAGAATTGTAAGCCTAGTCCATTTCATGGCCAGTGAGGCGGAAATAAATATTCATAAATGTATATATCATAACACACTGGACCAACCGACTCGTCTGGCGAACTCTCGTAGCAGCTGCTATATTTTCGCGCGGTTTTTGCGCCGGACCGAAACCTTTTATTTCGTGTCCGCTTCCAGCGGCCGACTTATAACGAGGAAATAACGCGGCCTGTATTTTTAGCGCGCCGGTGAAAGTTTTTCCGTGATCGGGAAGCGTCGAGAAAGAGAGACACTAGTCGGGTATCATAGGCACGATATTCGGGGCCTCGAACGCGTCCTCGAGATTCGTGAGTAATTCTTTAGTTAGGTAGTTTTTAAATATTTGGCGAACACGGTCCTCGAGGTGATTACGAACGGCTACCGAATGTGTTTCACTCCGTTCTTAAATACTCCCGGCTATTTCGAGACGTTGCGTGGTATATTAAGAAACGTGAACTATTTTAAGACTCTCTTCGAAGATAGAATTCGTTTACTGATAAAGAGAATCACAGATCACGGTTAGCGTTCCGTTTCGAAATTGTGCAGCGAGATAAATATATAGGGTGTTTCATTTAATTGGACCACTTGACCAAATGAGGACCGAAATTTTTTTAAGAATTTTGTTAACACTTTGCTGACAGGGTGTTTTGACTTAAGATTATTAAACATATTTAGACTCTACTTAAATTCTGATTTTTCTATATTTTTTACTATTCCACTTCTTATCTAAAAAAAAACGTACTACTACGTCATCCGACATCGAAATGTTAAAATTGAAATTAACAGGAAGTCCGAGTATTATCGGGAAAAATGAAAAAGGTGTCTTGAATCACACGAATATAGACGTTTTGAAATCAACTAAATTGCTGCAGTAGGTGCGATTTAATTCGGAACGAAAGAAATTTCACGTCATATTGAAACCAAGTTAATTCGAGTGTTCTGTCCATAAGCAGTTAAAAAATATTCGAGGAAGAGATTTTTTTCATTGATACTTTACTTTTTGGACCCTGTGAAACTATCTGGAGAAGCTACCGATGCTAAAGGTGCGTATCCTCGTATCGTATCACAGATTCTTTCGTTACTCGTTCACTTACGAAACGTGCATTACTATAAATACTCTTCTGTATGTTTACGTGATCGTCGACATACAAATGAAACGATCTCTGTATAATTCTACCAAAGAAGAATCTCGATAGGACTTTCTTCGTCAAGCGACGCGTTATCGTATCTTGCATCGACCTACAGGATGATATTACTTTCATTTCTGATATTCGGAGCATCCCGACAGAATCCTCTAATTGCCACGAACATTATCGCCGACATTCCTTTCGTTCCTTACCCGGTTCACTTTCCCGCGACGCGGGCTCGACGCGAACCGACTACGAGCGGATACAAATTAGCTCTTGCATTCCGATGTATGTATTCGACCGGAGAACAGTTTCATTAATTTCCATCGAAACTCTTTTTTAACGTGAACGGTATCTCGACCGGCATGCCATTGCGCCTAGAGCGCCCCTGGGACACGTGGATCGAGCCTAATGCGTACCTGTCCGCCGCGATTCAATAGCGCGCAGGTGCACCGCTGGTCCAGCCTCTCTCGCTGCTGCCGGGTATATTTGCGACGGAGGGGAACGAAAGAGAGAAAAAAATTAATTTGCTGGAATTCGCTGTGACGCACACCCACGACATAAACTATCGTTTCGCGGACTGATATTCGTAAATCGGACGCAAGAACGTTCGATCGTCGATCTCGCGTGATCCGGGGCAGTTAACGCGTTCGGTGTCGCCAGGATAATCGTGAAAAAAGAAACGTTTCGTGTTCTAGCGATTTGTATTCCAATCCTGGCGCACGCGCTGTCTCCGAACATTTTAAACCTTCGTTAGTTCAATTGTATTCAGATTTTTCAATTTTAATGTCGCAGTCGGTTGACAGATTTTGGAAAATTTTAACTCTACATTACTGAACTATTCTGTGATCCACGTTATTACTAATCATACGTGAAAATTACGACTGTAAGAAAACACGTAATATTTTGAAAAAAAAAAAAAAAAATAGTATTTATATCGAGGTAGAAAAATTATGTCATATGTTAACAATATTGATGACAATGTGCCGATTTCTGAGAATCGGGAATTCGAGGTAATTTTTACGAAAGTTTAGTGATCCAGGGTTATACGTATCATTGTCCTTTTAGGCTTAAACTGATCGCTCGTAGATCGTCGTGAATCATTTCGAGATAATTTCTAAAATGTAAGACACTGTTCACATATATTTGACCATTGTACAGAATTTTCCTTTTCCAATCGCTGAGAGAACGTTCGCGCGAGTCAAACGAGAGAAAAAATTCGGATAACAAACGGTTTCCCGCCGATTTTCGTCGTCCACGAGAGCATTCGATACGAGGCGCCGAATCGAAGCGATATCAGAACGGAACAAACGGTGCGGCAAAGTCATTCTCATCGTCCCTGAAGGTTGGCATTCGGGTTGCGTACAGCCTTCTACGACCGGACGCCCTTCAATTACTCGAAAATAAGCTGATTGGTGAACCCCCGCCAGTGGCAACAGCGCAAGTCGACGATTATGGTTCTGTAACATTGTTTCACGCGCGGGCAGCTCTCCGGAGAAATGATCCGTGTCCCCCATTGCCATGGTGTGTTTTTCCATGAAATTTAATCGACGAACCGCGGCCCGGTTTCTATCATATCCGGGGTTTCGTCGCGATTCGAAACAATCGTTGATCATTCTCCGTGCGATCGAAAGTGTAAAGCATTACATCGAAGAACAAATACTCTTCACCTTAATGTTTACGATGCCTCGTGACCTCGAAAGAATCACAATTATTTTTTACTCGACATCGTTTTCCGGGTCAAAGAATCTGCTCTTATCCTCAGCATCACTCCACGCCATTGTTATGCATTTCGGATCGTAAAATGGCAGAGCCCCGCAATTACCAGGTGGTCTGGTCGTTTATTTTTTTTTTTTATTGTTGCATACAAAGCAGCGCCGCTTATGTTTCCCACTTTTTTTTTCTTCGCATCGCCGTTTAAACGCTCTGACCACGGGCGAACCTTGCAACAAAGAAATAAAAATCGCTCGTAACGGCCTGTCCGGGACCGTGTCTGTAGGTCGACGGATTTTACGGCGTGAACGAGTGCTTGTGGATCCCGCGAGAAAAGAACTATTGACTATAAAATTGTAGTAAAAATAAAAGAAAAAAATACAAACGATGACTGAACAGAGAGGACATAAATAGAGGATCGCTGGTCCAAACGAAATAAGAAAACCGTCCGTTTTTCGGTCGATCGACGCCTGTACACGAAACTTGCGGTCAAACTGGAGCACTTCCTCGCTCGTTCCCAGACGTGTGTTATTATTCGCATTCCGTACGAATTTCGGTGGTCGGGTCTCTCGAGAAGCAGGTGCGGGATCAGGAATGCGAGCGATCCAAACGGGAAGCACGATGATTTTTGTTGTTTCTTTCTTTCATTTTTTTTTTTCTTCTCACATTCCCTTCGAAACCGCGCTCGTTAACGGTTCTCCGAGCTACGAAATTTCACGCGTGTTCGAACTTCCTCTCCGGTGATTATTTTCTGATCGCTGACACCGCGGTAGCAGCAGCAACCTTTTTCCCCGTCACGGTGGTTTCCGTTGCGCAACGTCGTGTAATTGATTACATCGCGGTTTGTAATTCATTCCGAGAACAATGCGTGGAGGGCATAATTAAGCTATCGGCTGCGGCGGCTGGTCTGTGTGTGTCTGTTTGTGTTTTCCTTTTTGCACGCGACCAGATCTCCGATCTAGAAATCTCCGGAAAACTGATACATTCCTTGTAACGTAACCGGCGACCATTTGTAGTAACAGACAGCCGGTGGATTTATGTATACATACAGCAGTCGTTGTAATGGCACTAATGGCCTGGCTCCGCATGGTAGCCGGCTGAGTGGTGTTCTTCGAGAACGGCCGAATGGAATAATCGTTTTTGTCGAAATATCGGGATCAGGAGGGGAACATATACAGTGAGAATCAAAACTAAGTATTACAGTGGTCGGAAAAAAGTGGCTCTTGCCCCTCTCCCTTTCTAGTGTTACAAAATTTTTACGTAATATTTAATGTTGCAGTGTAATTTGAAACACGACCAACAGCTTCTATTAACAACACGCATATATTTTCTACGATTTAGGAGTTTAAAAACAGAATAAAGTTTGTCTGGCTACGTACAGCCTTTTTCACTGTGGCTAATAACCTGTACCCTATTGTAAGATCATGGCAGTAATATATATCGACATGATTTTCTTAACATTTTCGAGACAAATAGGCAACCAAAAAAATCGAAAGAAAGAAATTCGGAGCTATAATAAAAAAATTTGGTAAATATCGTTAAACATGGTGAATGTACTATTATGGTTTTGGACAGCAATGGTGTGGGACAGTTGGTTCTTATTCATAATAAATTATGAAGAAATTTTGACACAAATATTTTAAAATCAAATTCAGCTGCAAGTGCAGTCGTGGGTCGTTCGGTGAGATCACGACCCAAAATATACAGTAAACGTAATTAAAAATTGTTTGCTGGAAACACTTTCATTCAGATCTCAATCTAATAGACTCTATTATATTTAAATAAATATGAATGAATCCCACGTTTTCAAAGTGTGTACTTACTTTTGATTCTTACTGTACATATAGGAGGATATCTGGGTGATTTCGAATTCCGATGGTCCCGATAGTCAGCCATTTCGGATGCTTAGGGGAGAGAAGGATTCCGTCGATGCCCTGAATAGCTGTCTATTGGTTAGAAGAACCGTCCGCCGAACAATAGATCCCCGAATTCTGATCCCCAAACAGTATCCATTGATTCCAATTCGTCCCCTCTCGTAATAGAAATTGCTTTTTCTTTGATTTCAGTTTCGATCCTCTACCTACATACCTCTCTCTCTCTCTCTCTCTCTCTGCTGACTCCCATTTTCCTGGTATCCATTGTTCGCTTTTCTCGAAAAATAAACGCGCGTATATACCAGAATTTATGCCACCGGTGCCAAGTTTTCAGCGAGATGCGATCGTAATTTCACAGCCGGCAACTGTGTTGAGCACGTAAATTATTGGAGGCGGTGGCGGCGGCGGCTACTCGGAAAAATCATTGTGTTCCATGGAATTCGGATTTGCATAATAACCAACCAACCGCGCGCGCGCGTGATGATGCAAAGCCGTAGCCGGATACACCGTGAGAGTCGTAGAAATCGTAGGGGGTGTGTGGACTGGTAACATTATGAATTGAACTTTAATCGGCGTTCCTTACTACGGGTTGAATTCGTGCACTTATGGTGGTGAGAAAATGCCATTAAAAGTCATCAGGGGGAGGACGAAGCGCGAATTAATTCACGGGGTTCAGGAAACGTGTTCGCTTCGAAACGATCCTAAGGATCGATCGGCCATTGTTCCAAGTTGCTCCGGTAATCGTTACCTCATCGATCCGTCGTCCCACGGTATTTCTCGGTCTATGATTTACCACGCACGCGGGTCCACCGGTGTCCGTCATCGTTAGGACGACGATGAATATTCATGATCGCAAGTTATGGTAACGCAATTAGTCCCATTAAAACCAGAGGCGGTAGGGACAGAGCATTATAGGAAATAATTACGAAGGATTAAAGTGTGTCAGTTAGTCACATGCGTTGGAAGAATTCGCGAAAATTAAATGAACGGTAGAAAGTTTACGCCTTCGGTCTCTTCGTGTATCCACGTGGTACGCGATCGGTGTTCAATTTTTTTTCTCTTATTCGCAGATCAACAACGACCCGAACATATTGCCGAACGTGAAGCTGGTGATGCGATGGAGCGACACGAGGGGCGAAACGGTGGAAGCCACCAAGGCAATGATCGATATGATCTGCGACGGGGTTGCTGCCTTCTTTGGACCAGAAGGCTCGTGCTACGTCGAAGCCATAGTCGCACAGTCCAGGAACATACCCATGATCAGTTATGTAAGTACTTTTAACGCTTCTCTGGTACATCGAGCAGAACGCCACTGCGAACCTCTCGCTGCGAAAATGGATTTTCGTATCGGTATCCGATTGTCCGATATATTCTCCACTCTACTCCCCTGTTCAACGATCTTGAGACTTTTCAGCCTTTCAAGGTTAAGCTTTAACTCTCGAGCAGAGATGGGCAAATTCAGTATCGAGATAACGAGTTTCGAAGAACGTATAAAAAATAAAAAAATGTACTTCGTCATTTTTAATTGTTCAAACGTGGAATTTCCAATTTTTAGAATAAATTCCCCAATGGATATTCTACCAATTGATTCTCGTTAATATTTATAAATAAGTTCTAATTAAATACTGCCGAAGGATAAAGAAAATATTCTTTCTGGTTTTAACAAATTCGTCCCTGAAGAGGTTAATTTCGTTAACTGTTTAAAGTACAGACTCATGCCCTTAGGGAATGCAATTTCTCAATATGTATTATTCGAATAAAATTCTGCCCAAGTCTGCTCTCGAGAGTAAGCTTGTACTGAGTAAACACCTTAACCCTCATTTATTTTCCCAAGTTAATCTGTCCTTCGGTGTCAAACTGACACAGTGATAATAAATTAATATAATGAAAAGATAAATAGTTAAATTTGCAAAAGTCTAAGAGAAAAAATGAGAGTTAATCACAGGAATATATCACAAATGGCATTTCCAATCTGCTGAAAGAATCGCGATAGATCCAGCCGGTTTATCTTAATCATTGAGAGAAGGCACTACGAACTCTCTCCGGAGATTTCCATAATCTTCTCGCTCTTAACGCGGCGATGTCTGTCGGCAAGGCTGCGACGAGGCCAGGAATAGCCAGGAAACGAAGAAAATCGCGTTCCTGTCACGCGAACCTGTTCCCCTGGTCCCCTCCCTCGGTCATCGTTCGACATAAGGCCCGCCTGACAAGACGTTGTGACGTGTCAGGATGCCTACCCCGCGCAAACAATATCAATAACATAGGATGACTCCGAATCACTGACGGTCATACTCCCCTCCCTTTACGGAATATCAAGGGCCCAGGATTAGGCCCACGCTATATATATATTACCATAGGACACTACACCAGCAGTTATTAAGTTACCGAATCTCTCAGCACGCGCATCCTGTCAGTCAGTTCTTGTAAAATACAATTCAATTAATTGTATCTTAACAATTTATCTCGTGTTACTGTTTGGAAGTAAATATTAGAAATCGGACATATCCACCTAATTATTTATTCAACGCAACCACGTAACAACGTTCGATCCCCACGCGGCGTGAGAACAGCGACGGGGTTGTAGGGTGACGAAGGTAGTGGTGCCCCGAAGTTGTCGATGGCGGAGGAGAGAATCCAGCCAGAGAAGGTGGTTAACGAACGCGGGGGAGGCGGATGTATGCCGACAAATTGAACACCCGCGGCGTGACAATATAATTACGGGGCTGCTGCTGCAGCCGTGACCGGTTGTGTTTGTGTGCGCGCGTGTTTCGTAGACGGTTACGTAGGTATATACGTGTGCCACGATGTTAGGGGAACACGCGATCCCTCTGCGCTTCGGGGCTTTGATCGGCTGCGTCGGTTGAGAAAAAATAAGAAAAACAAAAAACCTAGCATTCCGTCTTTTCCTTTTGGACCCTCTCAACCGACCGCCGCTTTTAGACTTCTTTGTTTCTGGGGTTCAGGACACGCGTGTCTATTCGCTGATCTATCCTTATGGTTTTTGATTTTCAATTTCATTTGAACCTTCACGGGGTTAAGTCAGGTTTATTTTTATGAGATATTGCAGGGATTGTCGCATTTAAATTTAGTGTTTTCGTCTTGGGAATAAACTTGTATGATGGATAGTTATAATTTTGGAAACCTTGAAGAATTCACGATCTGTGTTGGGACGGTCCTGTTGAAGGGAGCATGGATGAATTTTCAGAGGGTTAAGTCTTGTTTACTTAGGTGAGATTACCGGAGGTTCGTATTTTAAATGTAACAGAGTGAATTTATCTCGAGTCTAATTTTACAAGTGCAATCGTCGACATTCTAGTTTGCCGAAGCAGAAACTCGGTGTGAACCGAGAATAGGACTATCAACGGTGGTTATCGGCCTATCGTGTCGTTCCTTTTTATCGCTCCGTTTTTCTATCTCGTTCAAAATTAGAAAAAAATAACAGCTTCACAGTGTGTGCGTGGCGTGTGTATACCTAAGGTCGAGCCAAAGTTAGCCCTAGGTTATGTCTCTGTTCGGGCCACACGCTATCTCGGGTCTGTGAGTTATCGGCGGGGCCCTAACGTGTGTCTAAAGCCGTAGATTATCCTGGATCCGAATCGTTCGTGACGCACACGTCTAAGCAGGATCTAAGAAACGGTGCTCGTTGCGACGGCGCGAACCGAATCGAACCGGTTCCCCTCGAACGATGTGTGGACAAAGCTGATTCGATTCGATTCCGATCGAACGTACAATTCCTAATTAGAACTGTCTCGATTTACATGATGAATACATAGGTACGCGATCGTCAGCTTAAATCACCTTGGTAGTACGGAGCTATTCTAAGCATCGACCGCGCTAAGATTAGGCTATTGGTTCCAATTTGATTAGCATCGCCTATGATAAATGACTTGAACCTCTGCGGACATGTCCTCTTCCGTAAAATTCGTCTGCCGTGTTTACAAATCACTATTTCAGGGCCGAGTTAGAGAGCCCGTTTTAAGGGGCTAGGCTAGTGGGACGGCTATATAATAAGGCAATTTTTGGGAATTTTTTAAAGAAAAACTATTGAACTTGTCAATTTGAATAATATATATATTTACTAAATAATATTTGTAAAGTATGCTATATTTTTATGAAGTAAAAACAATGTATTGCTTAAAAGTTACAGTTCGAGAAAGAGAAACAATACAGCTTCCTCTTCCTCAAAAAATTGTTGCAAATTGCAAAAAAGAAAACTCCGATTTTCTGAAACCGTCACACTAGCATAGCCCCTTAAAGGAATTCGAAGTGTACACTGACCAGCAAACTCGGCTTCCACTAGGGAGAAAAGTAACGTAGGGAAAAGGCCTCCTACCACTTGGTATTGGGAATTATTGGAATTCATTCCAAATTAACATTCGATTTAACATTTATTTCACTACCTGGAATAAATTTACCAAGTGGTAGAAGACTTTTCTTCTACGCCGCTTTTTCCCCTAGTGGAAGCCAAATTTGCTCGTGGGTGTACATACATCACTTAAGGATCTTCTCTCAGAAATGATTTCGTTATAGCGCAAAGAACACGTAAGATGCATAGTTCCACTGTCCCGCTCGAAAATAATGACAGTTCCGTCTGTTTGATCGTCGCCGTGAAAAGACGCTTCGAAAAACAAAAAACAAACGGTTGGTGTGTCGTGACGTCATCAGGTCACGATGACGTTATCGTGAATATATTATTAGCGGCCAGGGACGAGCGGAAACTTTGGATTCGAAGGTTATTTATGGAAGAAATTATCGTGTAGCGGCCCGTTCAAAATACGTCGTCGGGTGTCGAGAGGCGGCAATTTATAAAACACATGTTACGAATCCTCGCCTATTTTTAACCGGCTAATCGGACCACACTTGTCTGTCGGCACGCGTCGTTCGTCGCGCAGAATGTTCGAGAGCAAGTTGATCGGGTTTTCCGTGGGATTCGCGGCAATCGAAAAGTGGCTTATTCAAATAGATCGCTCGACCGTCTCAAGAGCGGCTGTTCTCTTTCGATGGACACCTTTCGAACCAGTAGAGATACATATACATATACATTACAATTGCGATGACATCTCACCGATAATTCGATCGACAACTCGATCGACAGCGACACGTCCGACGAATGGTTTTCGTGAAAGTGTCGTCCACAACGCGGAGAAGACGATTCCTCCGTGTGTTAGATGTCTGTCGTTCGCGGAAAAGTCCGCAGCATCGTTGTGTGGCGGTCGTTGATCGTCCGGTGGAAAGTTTTCAGAGAGATACACACGTTCCTACCAATCAGATGAAACTCGGGCCCGGCCGTGTCTCGATCGACGCGTTCCCGAAAGGGGAATTGACGGACACTACAGGTGGGGACCAGGGGTGGAGGAGGAGGGAAAAAGAAAGAGAGAGGAAAAAAAGAGAACGTTTCCACGATGGACTAAGGACGCCACGATCTGTCTCTCTTTCTCTCTGTGTCTCTCGAGGACTCTCGCTCGTTTCCCGCCCGATTCGAATATGAGAAAGTGGTACGCGGACGTAAAAAGACCTCCAGACTAATTTATGTTAATTGGAGGTCGTAAGAGAATGAAACAGGACACGCGAGAAGAACCGCGCGGTGATCGCCGGGTAACACCCGCGAGAAGGGATAAAACAGGCAACCAGGCTGTCGCGTTCCGGTTGCGTTTCACCCCTGATTATTGTTAACCCCTTGCCTTACGATTTTTTTTTTTTTTTATTACACACTCAGGAATTACTTTGTCATTAAGAATTTCCCGGATACAAAAAGAAATTCTGTTCTTACGTAACATTTACTGTAAAGGCTTTCTACTCCAACTACAAGCTGTATACTGCCAACGCATTATTAAAAAAGTTAATGCAGGTGTCGGCAACCTATGACCCATTTGAAAGTTTCAAATGACCCGCTTGAGTTCCGCAAATAAAGTATAATACGTAAAAATAAATTGTAAAACATTCACATGAAACAAACACTTTGGGAAAATATAAATAATAGATTAACATTGATAAAATGCACGAAGTGAAAAGGGTTAATAACCAGCGAAACAATGTGTCACTTTGATTTAATGAAAACGAATTATTTAAATGTTTATTAAATACAGTATGAAATCGTTATCACGTGTGTCATTGGATGTTACAAGGCAAGGGGTTTAGCATAAATCAGCCCTTCTCCCAGTCACAGGAGGTACAGGGAAGAGCCAAGATGGGTTGGTGCGTAAAACGTTTTAAGCACAGAGGCATGTTACTTTCACCTAGTTTCACTCGTTAGCGCGAGTGGAACCGC